CTTCAAAAATGTTCATGGGCTGCTTTAAGTTAGCAGATTTCAACAGCGCTGCTCATGGAACATACCAGGTTCTTTAATCTTGGTGGCTGAAGTCCATCTGAAGTTATTTTCGACAATGAAACCAAAAGGAAGTCATGGCAGTGTTCCAGATTGTGTATTCCAAAACATATCCCTTGGAAGTACTGAATATGTTCAATCAGATGATAGCAGGGTATCCCTTCCATTCTGGAGATGCCGGCTGCAATTTCTACTTCAGTCCTTTAGACAACGTATGACCCAAGCCTGAACTACAGGGGGATGACAATCAACACATCAAATAACTGTGATCCAGTATTATTTTATGTCTGTTGGCTCTAAGGGAGAGTTTTTATATTTATTTAAGCTACTGATGATTATAAGCAATTGGTGATGAGGATGAATGTTTCAAAAATGTTGGGATTTCCCTCCTGTCAATGAGACCTGTAGAGCAGGAAGCAGATGTGGTCAGGGGCTGAGGGGTGGGTGATGGGTGGGAGGGCAGAGGTCTCTCTAGGACCGAAACTTGATCACTGATGCTGTGTGCAATGCCAGCTCCTGGCAGATGGAGGACTGACTCCTAGACAGACTCTTAGCTGGTTTCCTTACTGTTTCCAGTTCTCCAGAGATGACACATGCCCCACTGCCTGTACTCAGGCCATGTTTCTCCCTCCACCTGCAGCATCCTTGGTCCACCCCCGGCATCCAGACATTTGGTCTACAAGTTTGAAATTAGCCTCCAAACTTTGTGATGCTTGTTGGCAGTTTTATAAGCTAGGATAAAAACACCAGGCTGCCCTTAACTTGCCATTTTGTGTCCAACCTCGGCTAGGGTTAAAAGGCTCTAGTGAATTTTATGTCTTGCATTATTTCTTTAGGGCACTAGATCATATTTTCAGCATTTTCTAATGGCCAGCTGAACGGGACACACTTATGTGTGCACATCTCACCTCTGGACTTATTTAATATGACTTTGATCCCAAGATGGTTTTATTATCATCCATCTAGGATTCCATGTCTTCCGTCATCTGTTCAGTTGTGGAAGAAGAATACAAATGGTAAATTGAAGATTAAAAAAAATTTTTGGTTAATAAATATTCGACAATTGATGATGGCTATGACTTTGAAAGTTTTAAGTTTGTGATGGAAGAATATGGCTGCTCTCGATTTTAGCACTATTTCCCCTGGGTAATCCCAAGTGTGCATTATCAGTGTTTTAATGACGGTAATTTTTTTTGGTAACAATTTAAGCATAAACAGTCCCTTTCGACCCTCTGGGATCTGCCACACAGCAGAACCAAGCTTCTGTTCCCTCACACATTCATGAGCCCCCACAGCGCCTCCCACAGGGTGACAGTAAAAGTGCGCTGGTCACATCTAACGCACGGCTTCTTCTGAGGGTCATGCAGATTTCATACTAGGCCTCATTTCAGTAAATGACTGTTTTTGCTCCTGATGGAATATATTACAAACTGCAGATCAGGACACATAAAAGCACTGCACCTCCCCAGATGAATATTTGTTGAGAATGAAAGTATAGTCACTCAGTCGTGTCTGACTCTTTGCAACACTGCGGACTGTAACCCACCCGTCTCCTCTGTCCATGGGATTCTCCAGGCAAGAATACAGGAGTGGGTTTCCATTCCCTTCTCCAGGGATCTTCCTGACCTAGGAATTGAACCTGGGTCTCCTGCATTGACATGTGGATTCTTTACTGTCTGAGCCACCAGGAAAGCCCATGAATATTTGTTACCTAGAAGTATGTCCAAAATTCTGTTCTGTACATCTGTGTCTCTTTTTCTGTTTTGCATATAGGGTTATCATTACCATCTTTCTAAATTCCATATATATATGCTTTAGTATACTGTATTGGTCTTTATCTTTCTGACTTACTTCACTCTGTATGATGGGCTCCAGTTTCATTCATCTCATTAGAACTGATTCAAATGAATTCTTTTTAATGTGGAGAGGGAGGTGGGAGGAGGGATCGGGATGGGGAATACATGTAAATCCATGGCTGATTCATGGCTGATTCATGTCAATGTATGACAAAAACCACTACAATATTGTAAAGTAATTAGCCTCCAACTAATAAAAATAAATGGAAAAAAAAAAGTCAGTGGGGAAGCTCTCCTGGAGAAACTGGGCCTGGCTGTGAATCAGGGACCTACCACCCATGTCACCCTCAAGGGGAGACTAGGGGTAGGTCTAATTAGGTGGTAATCCAGGCATCAGAGTCTGCTCTATCTTAGAAAAATTAATGCAAATAAACTAATTTGAACCAGTCTGAAATAACTGATCAAAGAAAATCAAAGTGATCTCTACATTAGATGCCTTTTCATCCTAGAATATAGAGGGCCATTAAGTTACAATGGAAAAAACCTTTTTATTTTTTTAACCTAGTTTGAATTTTCCTTTTTTTTTTTTAGAAGAAAGACTGGATGACATGTTTGGTATTTGTCACCAGGTTCAGGTGTAGCTTTGCTCAATTGTGAATCACAGCCCCTGTGATATTGGCAGAGAAGGGGTTGGAAATAGGTAGTGATGTTAAGGTTAACTAGTCTTGCCAAATGACTAAATGTCTCTTTCAAATGAGACCTTTATTATGCACCTGCTGATTTTATACAGTTTGGAAATGTGGTTTACTTAGAGCTCAAGTTATACTAAGAAAAAGAGAGAAATCAGAGATAAGGAAACCCCTTCCTCTGGGCACAGTGTGAGTCATAAGGCCTTGCTCCAAGCTGCCCAGGTGTGCCAAGCACCAGAGACTACGTCGGCAGAGTGTCCTGGAACTTTCACTCTTGGTGGCTTATTGAGTAATAGATCATGAAGGGAAATTTCCAAAAGATCAGTACCAGCATGTTCTATTTCAGTGAAAGGAAGAAAGCTCTGTCTTAAAAGTTTCATTTACTTTCTTCTTTATGAAAAGCAATGCAAAACAAAACAGAAATAAAACAAAGCCAAACCCATGGAAAGAACTATCTGATATACGGGGGCAAAACCTGGAGTCCTAATCACTCCTTCAGTAAATGAAGGAAAAAAAAAGAAAGAAAATCCATGGAAACAAAATACTAGCAAAGCAATAGGCATAATCATGCCTCTCGCAGTTGCAGACACGTACAGTGTCTGTGGCTTTCTCAAACACAGGGAAATCTTATTCTGCTAAAAAAAATTTCCAGTTGCTAGAGTTCTAAGAAATCAAGTAGCATTGACTAAATATGTTCTGTATGACTCACAGATATACAAAACAAACTTGCGCTTACTAAAGAGAAGAGGGAAGGGGACTGGGCAAGTTAAGAGTATGGAGTTAACAGGTACAAACTACTGCATATAAAATAGATAAGCAATAAGGATTGACTGTACAGCACAGGGAATTATAGACATTATCTTGTAATCACCTATAAGGGAGTATAATCTTCAAAAATGCTGTATAGATGAAGTTAACATAATGTTATAAATCAACTATACTTCAATACGAAATATATTCTGTGTTATTTTAGTAAAGACCTAAGTTTAAATAGGAAAAAAAAATCCCTTGTAGTTATGATGTGAATTTTGAATCTCATTTATCATTTAATTCTCAGCTTCTAAAATGTAGCCATTATTTAAAAAAAAAAAAACTCATGTCAGAGATTTTGGCCCACAAATATATTTATTTATAGTAATATCAGGTAATTTTAATCAGAATATATTTAAGCCATTACTGAGGGCTAGTCAGGTAGTTGGAAAGACAGACAGGAATGTTATGTGTTGAGAAAAATATAGAAAGCTGCATATGGTTGTCCTAATCAATTATCTTAGAAAATGGCTGCCTTAGTATCTAAGGGAATCAGGACATGGTCCTTCCACTTTATGCTAAAATTAATTAAATTTAATCTTTCTTATCTAGTTATGAAAGCCACAAGTTTCTGCAGCTAAAAGTCATTTCACTGCAAGTCCTTCTACTGGTTAACAGAGATGCTTATCAAGGCAGTGCTGAGTGTTCAGACAGAGTTGGTACCTGAATAATTACATTGGCATTGATTTGGGTTCTGTTAATGAGCACTCTTTTCCCTTGTATCATCTGAGTTCCTTTATAAAGTGAGGCTGACTTAGAGAAAGGACTCCCAGGCATCCTTTCGAATAATAACATGTTTTTGATCAGGAAACCTTCTCATTGAATTTTTTTTTTTTTCAGTTGTAATTTGCTTACTGACCTATATAACTGAGTGACTTTTCAGTTGTTTGTGTTTATTTAGCCAACCTTTTGGGAAAAGTTTTATTTGTCAAAAATGGTATTTTTCCAGAGAAATGTCTAAGGACCATTATTTAAAAATTTTAAAGGAGACGCAGTGTGGCAGAGTGAGACTGGAGGTGAGCAGGTTCTGTTGGTGAGGGTGATAGGAAATGGTGGGTGTGACTGAGGCTAAGTCACGTGAGGAGATCCAGGAACCGAGCTGGTTATCGTGCGAAGGAAAGGCAGCACCACTTTTAGCTGCAGGGATGCTGAAGTTGGGGTATGTTATGTGGTGGTATAATATCTTTTAAGACACAGACTAGTTATTTGCTCCTTTGTGTCCCCATTCTTCCTCATGAAAGACTGAGGCTGCCTGTATTCATGGGTTCCTGCTGAGGAAATGAGAATAGTAGGGATACAAGTAAACACAGATGAAAGTCTTGAATCTTGAAACCATCAGCATTGGTTTCCCAAGCCCTAAATGTCAGAAGCTCACTATGCCATGCACCCCGGAGGGAAAGCTTGGAGACAGGATGTCTCAGAGCAGCTGGATGGAGGGGTGAGAGGGCTGCCTGTGGGCTGAGGTGGGGGGCTGACCTGGAAGGCTGGGACTAGCGTCTTCTGCAATGGGCTTTGGGTCAGTAGACCAGCCAGCTGGCTGCTTATCTACTGCAAACATTCAGCTGTGATCCTGGGAGCCCCTGTCAGGATGAAGAGGGGGGAGCCTGGGTTCCAGAGCCAGTGGGAAAGCCCCTCGTGGGTAAGGTACCTGTTACCAGGTGACTCTTCATGGCACCAAATCCAATCATCCTTTCCCAACCCCTGCGAAAGTAGAACTCTCATGAGGAGTGAAAATTATTCGTGGACACTTGAATGGCCTGAAGTGTATCACAAGGTATTTTGTTCCCTGCTTCCCACACCTGGTTCTTTGATTTACTTCCTCAGCCTCTGTTGGAGGAACACCAAGGTGATATCTGACATTAGTTTCCAGGTGCTTTCCATCTCATGGCTTTATGATCTTCCAGGAGAGCAGCTTCTCCTTTTTCAGAAGGAACGTGGGTCCGCCCTCTGGAAGGGTTGTCAGGCTGCTGGAAGCCCCAGAAGCCCTTCCACCACCCTCACCATCCCCTTTGCAACCCCCCCATGTTCCCCCCTCCTGTCCCCAACCCGGCTCACCTAGGTGCTGCTGGCATGGCCTGTGGAAGGGCTTCTAGCTGCGTCCTGGGGGTATGTGATGGTTCTTTCTCGGTAACAAGTCATAGTGGAGGGTACTTTCACTTCTTGCCTCCTGCACCTTGGCTTGAATTTGCCTAAATAACCTCTTGCACTCTTGCAGTTTTTCGGTCTGGGCCCTGAATTGGACCTCTGATGAAAGCTTATCTTTACCCTCTGGCTTATTTTATTTCTCTGCTTCTATCCTTGAGCACTGGGCCTCCTCTCATGGACCTCTTCCCTCTTCCCAGTAGGTCTTTTCCTCACTGGTCCTACCTACACTCATAGACTTGAGTATCTTCTGTGTCATTATATGCAGCCTAATCTCTTCCTGGAATTTTTTGTCCTTATCAGACATACCACTTGGGCATGGAAACATTACTTCAAATAGCCCTTGCCTATTAGGTCACTAGGGCATCATTCTCTCTCTAATCCAGTGCTTTCTCCTGAGATGTGGGTGAATAGACAATGGATGGATGATGGATGGATGGGTAGGTGGTTGGGTAGGTGGGTGGATGGATGGATGGATGGATGGATGGATGAATGGGTAGAAGGATGCATGGATGGGTAGGTGGTTGGGTAGGTGGGTGGATGGTTGGATGGATGATGGAATGACAGGTAGGTGATTGATGAATGGATAGATGGATGGATGATGGATGGTTGGGTAAGTAAACAGATATATGGATAGGTGGATAGATGGATGGATGGACAGATAGATAAGTGGATGATGGATAGATAGAAATATCATGTCTTCACCTTGTTTTCCACATCTTAAGTTTAGCACTTAACCATGCTGGAGGCTTCTGTTCCTATGATTCCACAGAGAACCACTCTCTCAAGGTCAACAACATTCTCTGTATTGCAAAATCCAATGTTTGCTCCTCTGGAATTATTTTATTTGAACTTTCAGTAGTCTTTGACACAGTTGACCACATATTCTCATTACTATTTCCTAATTTTTCTTCTCCTTTATTGGCCACTTCTTCTTAGTCTATCTTACTGGCTCTTTCTCATCTTCTCAAAGCTGAAAGTCAGAAAAATAGATTCCTGATTCCCTTTTTTTCTCTAGCAGTTTTTCCTCCCAGGTAACCTCATTCAGATGTATGGCTCTGAAAATTGCCATTCTGCAAGGGAATTGCCGTTGGTATTTTTAGTTATGACTTCTCTCACGAGCTTCAGACTTGTGAAGCTGCTGCGTACTTGAAATCTCTGCTGGGTTAATATATTGCACAGGTTTAGTTTGGACAAAAGAGGAACTCTTGAGCAAATAAATAAACATAAATAAATAAAGAGCAGATCAGTGCTTCTCTGGTTCCTACTTATCCATCTATCACTCTAGTTGTTCAAACTCCAAACTTACAGGCTAGTCTTAATTTCTCACTTCCCTTTATTCTCTATGACTGATCGATGACTCTTTGCTATTAATTCTACCACATCTACCCACCTGGTCATGGAGGGTGATGGTTGTGAATAATGGGTCCAAATACGTGAAAGAAGAGGAAACCATGCACAGCATAACACAAATCAACATCTCTGTTCTGCCAGCTTGTTTGTCTGGGACATTTTCTTCTCTCCTGTCTTCCATCATTCCTAGGCTCTTGCTGATGGGTATGTGGGCTTCAATGGTGGCTAATCTGATAAATAACCCACCTGCAATGTGGGAGACCTGGGTTCAATACCTGGGTTGGGAAGATCCCCTGGAGAAGGAAATGGCTACTCACTCCAGTATTCTGGCCTGGAGAATTCCATGGACTGTATAGTTCATGCAGTCCGCAAAGAGTCAGATACGACTATTTAAAACTCATGGCAGACATTTGGAGTTTCCTAAGATCTGTAGTTCCTATCTCAGATTCTTCGTATGATACAATCTGCCATTTTCAGGTAGGTGTGGCCCAGAGAGGATACAAGCTTTGGAATTACAGTTTTCCTGCAGGATTCAGGAAAATCAGGTGCTTAACCAACCCGTTCAGTCTCCTGTTAATGATCTGTGCTTGTATCCTATCCATGTGCTTCTAAGTCAAGCCCAAATCTTACTTTGGAAGCAGACATGGTACAGCTAGGTAATAAGAAGGTATTTGAGGCCACACAAGTAATATGTAAAATATTTTTATTAGGATTTAATTGTAGTTTTTTTCTACCTAAACCAATGTTCTACCTAAAGTAACATTCCATACAAAATCTCCTGCAAATTGACAAGCACTTTCCAGGGACCATCAAAGCACTAGAGATGCACTTTCAGAAAGAAACGAGATATCAGGAGAGAGTCTTTAGCAACTTTGCCCAGATGTGTTTTGCAATGAGCAGCAGGCTTCCCTTCACCATGCATTTTTAAAGGAAGTGGTTTTGTTCAAGTGATTTCAGAAAAGAAACACAAAACAAAAACCCTAAAACTCCTGCTCTAAGTAATTACCAGCAATTTTTTGTGGTAGAAAATGGAAACTAGAAATATTTTAATGACTGTCTTTGAGTAATATTATCAGTTTCTTTGTGTCATGCATGTATATTAAAGATCCAAGATAGCGTGTGCTATTGTGGGAAACATATGAATTATTTATATGTAGCTTAAAATAGATAATATTCCCCTGCCCATAATCACCATTTACGATATACATATTTTTCCATACATCTCTCATTTTAATGGGGGGATTATAAGGCTATAAACACCCACAGTTTTCTTTAATTACTATCCTATATTTTGAATGATTTCCTATTAAGAAAAAGCTTCTTTTTTTTTGTCTGCTAAAATATTTATGACCATTGTTAAACTTAAACCATTAAGTGCAGGAGTGGGGAATAATAATACCCACCACCTACTGTGTCTAGTCTGGGTGAGGTGGGTTTTCTTTCTTTCTTGGAGCGTAATTGCTTTACAATGTTGTGTTAATTTCTGCTGTACAACTCCAGTCAGCCATATGTATACATATAGCCTCTCCTTCTTGAGCTTCCCTCCTGCCCGCTACCCCAGTCCCACCCCTCTAGGTCATCACAGAGCACTCAGCTGGCCTCTCTGTTAAACAATAGCTTCCCTCCCACTAGCTATCTGTTTTACACGCGGTAGTGTAGAGATGTCAATGCTACTCTAAATTTGTCCCATCCTCTCCTTCTCCCCCCAAGTGGGTTTTAGCATTCCATTTCCGGTTTGCTTTCCTAATTGCAATTTTTTAGTTTTGTTTAAGTGAACATTGGGCAGCGAGCGTGATGAGATTTTCAGTTTGGATGGTGGACGCCAAGCCTTCTGTGTGGTGGGCTGTCTTTTCCTAACCTAGTTAAAGGCTGGGAGAGACCCTGGGGAAGTGCTCTGGCCACAGAGGCTTGGGCTGTGTGTGTCCCTCACATGCAAAACTCATGGTCAATACTGGAGAGGAACAGGAGGGGCCAGGAACTTGATAGCTGTGAAAGTAGAGGTCTGTTTAGTGTTTCAAGGAAATTCTGCCTGGGAAACCGTGCGTGTGTGCGTGCTCAGTTGTGTCTGACTCTGCGACCTGCATGGACGGGGCTCTGCAGCCTGCCAGGCTCCTCTGTCCATGGGATTCTACAGGTAAGAAGACTGGAGTGGGTTGCCATGCCCTCTTCCAAGGGATCTTCCTGACCCAGGGATCGAACCTGTGCCTCCTGCATTGGCAGGTGGGTTCTTTACCAGTGAGCCATTGGGGAAGCCCAGGAAACCAGAAGCAGCTAAATCAATCCTCAAGAACCACAGCAGAGGTTGGAAACTGTTCTTGCCAGTGGCAGAGTTGTTTCACATCTTTCTCAACTCCCAAGGTTTAGAAAAGAGCCAACATTTGGCAGAAGCCTCCTGTCAATTGTCCTTGGACAGACAAGTGATAGAAAAGGAAGTGCCAGGAGGGGAGCAGTGGTGATTGGAAAACAGTTACTGCAACAAATTATTGTCTCCACATTCCCAAACTTGGAGTTGGGAGGGACTGATGATGTAAGAGGTGACGGTCAGCTGGGGGTCCACCTGGACAGGAGCCTGAGGCAGACTTCCTACATGGACCAGCCTCTTTGCCCATGGGGCCAGCTGATTGCTTTCAGAGGATTTAGAGGAGGAAGTATCTGTTCTTTATTTATCTTAATTAATGATTTGTTTTCACTGTCTGGGATTCTAATATTAGTATGTTTGCTCCTTTTGACAATGATGTCCAGAGCCAATAGTTTTATGGACAAAATATCTCTAATAGAAATAAGAACCAACCAAATGGGCTTCCAAGTGGTTCTAGTGGTAAAGAACCTGTCTGCCAATGCAGGAAACGTAAGGGATGTGAGTGTGATCCTTGGGTCAGGAAGATGCTCTGGAGAAGGGCATGACAACCCACTCTAATATTCTTGCCTGGAGAATCCCATGGACAGAGGAGCTTGGCAGGCTACAGTCCATAGGGTGGCAAAGAGTTGGATGAGACTAAAACAACTTAACATGCAAGCAAGTTTCTATCAAATCACTCTGTGATGTTGAAGTCTAATGCATTGCTGGAGAACCTGAGTCCAGTCTCTGTGGTGTGGACCTGAAACAAGGTCAAAAGAGCCTCTAATTTATGGTGGACTCACCACAAAGCCCTTGTTTCCTTTTTCTTTCCTTTTCAGAAAAAATTTTTTTAATAGAATTACGTTCT